TGAAGAAATACAAGTGGCAAATAAGTACACAAAAAAATGTTCATCATCATTGGTCATTAGAGAAATGCAAATTAAAACCACACTGAGATTCCATCTCACTCCTGAAAGAATGGCCAGGATCAATAAAACCAACAACAACAAATGCTGGAGAGGCTGTGGGGAAACAGGAACTCTCCTACACTGTTGGTGGGAGTGTAGACTCTTTCAACCTTTGTGGAGGTCAGTCTGGAGATTTCTCAAAAAGCTGGGATTGGAAGTCCCATTTGTTCCAGCTATTCCACTTCTAGGCATGTTCCCAGAAGAACTGAAAGCATCCTACCACAGTGATATATGTGCACCTAATTAATAGAAGAACAATTTGTAATCGCCAGATCTTGGAAAATCTTGGAAAATCGCCAGATCTTTTATCCATTCATCAACTGAGGAATGGATAAAAAAGTTGTGGTATTTTTATACAATGGAGTACTACTCAGCTATAAAGAAAGATCACATTGAGATATTTATCAATAAATGGGTGCAGCTTGAGACCATACTCATAAGTGAAATAAATCAATCTCACATGTGTGAATACCAAATAGTTTCCCTAATGTAAGTAATGATTCAAATATATAAAAGTATGTGGTAATCATGATTCCCCATTATGTGGCCTGGAAGCCTTATAAAGTTTTCACTTATTAATTGTAATGGCTTTATTGTGGGCTTCTTGATATGGAAATATTTGAAGCTATAGTATATGAAGTTATATTCAAATATTTCAAGGAAAAAGACAGACACTATAGTAACTTCTAATAAGTCGGGTTATTTGGTGGTAAAGCACTAGGTTGCTGAAACAGTCATGCTTTGACCTGTATTGTTCTGTTGTTATGTCCTCTTTTATCTCAATCTCTCCCTTATTCATTAAAAATATTATTTAGTTATTTTTTATGGTTTTTTTTAATTAAGGGGAAAAATTTAAAAAATTAGCAGGATATATTATAGTAACTTTTTTTGATTTCCTATTAACTTGAAGTCCTGTAATACTCCCACTATCTTGTTTTGACTGATTAGACTCTGTTCTGTTCTGTATGATAGTATCAAGTTTGAGGGTATAGGCAACTACTTTGAAGGCAATAAGATTCACTAAGATGCCCATTCTGGTTTGACTATTATCTCCTTTGGAAGTCCTGTAATATTTACAATGTTTAAGTTTTATTTGTCTTGTTCTCTACTGTGTTGTTCAACTGTACAATACCCAATGAGATAGACAGTTCTTTTTAAAGAAGCAAGAGGCATTATAGTAACCATTGTTGATAACCTTGTACTCTGTTTTTTACATCATGTACTATGTCTATCCTTAGTTTTGACTGACAGCTTTGTTCTGCCATATTTGACTTTATTCTCTTCCAAAAAAAAGTAATAAGAACTAAGGAGTAATAAAACCCAAAATGTGTAAATTTTGTTGCAAAAAAGAGAGGGGGAGAAAAGTGCTCTAAAGGATAGAACTGCAAGTGTGTTTAGGGGTGTTAAATCGCTGACCATATTAATGTTTTTGGTTGGATCATTGAACACAACTGTTTGCAGTCTCTCTGAATGCCCACTTTGTATGCTTTGATACTGTGACTTGAGCAACTGTCTCTAAGATGATAATATGTAATCTATTAACTGGTGATTTCTTACTGTTTTGTTTGTAGTTCTGTATTACTTGTACCCTTACACCACTTTGTTTTGTTTTGTTTTTTCTCTTTTTCCTTTTAAATAAAAATTTTAAAAAACCAGTTGTTTCTTAGATATACAAGAAAATTAAGTTTGTTAGTAGGACAATGGTCTCCTTCCAAATACTTTGTTTCTAATACAATGCCTTTCCATCATGTAAGGTATATTTGAAGAATGATACAATCTGGCAAGAAGGATTTACTGCTTATTAGCCAGCCATCTCTAGTCACTTATCAAACATGTATTATGCCAAAGTTTTACAATAGTCAGAGTGTAGGGCAAATTTTATTTTAGGGATAAATCTAAACCAGAGGTAACAAAGGTTTTGTTTTTATATAAATAGCCACTCAATGGTAAAAGTTCACAGCTTAATGATTGCCTAAATAAAAATGACAGTTCCAACTCTGAAGAAGAATATTTAGCACCATTTTCTGTCTACCAAGTCTACAGATTCTACTTGTCCCAAATAAATTCCAAATGCTGCTGAGTAGCATTTTAACACCCAACCCAAGTGGAGAAGTCTGTTTTCAAGTCACCCATTCATCTCTCCTTCAATACCGCACAGGACATGGAGGTTTCTTCAAATATTGGACAAGTCTGATCTTTAAGAGTTTCTCCTCCTCCTCCTCCTCCTCCTCCTCCTCCTCCTCCTCCCTCTCCTTCTCCCTACTCCTCTTCTTCCTCTTCTTTTTCTTATTCCTCTTCCTCATCTTTGTCTTCATCTCATTTTCAGTCTCCTTCTCCCCATTTTTCCTCTCCTTCTGCTTTTGCACTTGGATTCACTTTTATTTCCCATATGCTATCTCTGCTTATAGATGCTGTCTTTTTATTTTAAAGGAAAAAACCAATGGCACGAAGTTCAAAACAAGATAGTAGGAGTATAACAATGGTTAGTACATTGTGTATCATTATATTCAAAGCGGTTGCTCATATTGCAAGATACAGGCATGAAAAATTGATCAAACAATACAGGCACAACCTTCTTTTTCTATGAACTGATAGCAATTAGTAGTGTAATCTTAACTGTTTTGTGTATAAACATATGTATTTTACTTGTTTCTATCTTGTCTTCTCCTTTTACTCATCCCAGTTTCTCTTTCTTTTTTAACAGTTTCTTCCCATTTCACTACAGGTATTGTACATTTTGGATCCTATTTATTCTTTCAGCTTCTTATGATAGGGAGACAATATGATATTGGGAGTCTGATTTATTTCACTTGTAGGTTATGGTCTCAAGTTGTTTCCATTTCCCTATAAATGTCTCAAGTTTATCCTTCTTTATAGCTGCATTATTGTCTTCCGTTCGTTTTTAAAATTCTCCACCCAGCCAAGAGTTCTGTCTTTAACTTTTCTGCCTCATACATCTTCCTTCAATAGAATTTTAACTCAACAGATTTAGTATGTATCTGTTTACATGCTGTATGTGCTTCTGTTCTTGTGAGGCACCACAATGCTTGCTCTTCGGTTACTGCAAGTTGTAGAATAATTTTACAATTAAGTTAAAGGTTATATTAACATTTAAAATTTACTAACATTTTTGAAATGTATTTCATAAATATGCTCTGATGTAGCTCATATGTTAGAAAATTAGTAAAATTAATATAAAAATTTGAAAATTACTAAGTGACATGCAACCATTTAAAATTCTTCCAAACTTTCAGTTAAACAAAACAACTGAAGAAATCAATTTGTTAAAAAAATACTTTTAACAACTTTGACATTTGCTTGAAATGTGAAAATAACTCTTTATCATTTACTGTAATATTTAGTAGAATATTGTAAATATTTTGCCTTTTCAAACATAATTTGATGGGCTGAGTAACATTTGAAAATTACATACAGGAGGAAGAGACAGAAGAGGGAGGTGAGGAATGGGGATTTTAAAAAGAATTGGAAAATACGGTGGCAGAGCTTTTCCAAGTGGGAGAGAAGGACCAAGAGACGGGGAGGAGGTGGCCAGAAAAAAATTAAGAGGGGTTACCTACACATACCCTCTCCCCATTAGTACAAACATGTACTAATAAAAAAGGAAAATTATGGATTTCAAAATTATAAATCCATTTTATCTAGATAAGCCCATTTTATTAATTCTCTAAAGTCCATGCTTAAAGAAAGAAAAGCCTTGAAGATTAAGCACAACATTGATAAGCAGCCAACCTTGGCAAACAGACACAAGCCCTCCACCTACTGAATTGGAGGAATCAATCCACAGAGCTCTAGAGTTAAGTCAACTTGACTTTCCTGGGGAATTCCTGCTCTAAAACAGACAGGGTTTAGGGGTACAGCTCTGTGGTAGAGTACTTGCTGAGCATGTACAAGCCATGATTTCAATCACCAGTCACACACACAGGCACAACAGACACACACACACACACACACACACACACACACACGCACTCTCACACACTCACAAAGAGAAATAGTAAGAAACAGAAAGCCTGTCAATTGAATCCATCTATTTCCCACAGTTTTGCAGTGCTGGTTTCGCACATGCGTTGCGTATTTCCTAACTAACTCAAGATCAGTGCTGCACACAATTGAAACCCAATCACGGAAACAAAAGTCCCAGGAACAAGATTTGCACAGAAAGGGTGGAACTTTGAAGGGGCAAACAAGATGCACACTGATTTCTTCAGAGCCAGTTTTCATGTTCAAACAACGTGGCCGTTTAGAAAACTTTTGGTCTACCTTGTGACCTCCCAGCAGGGAACCTCCAGCACATTCCGCGCAGGCTTGAGGCGTATCACCCTGCAACCTGGCCCAGCGAAGCCCCGCTTCCAGTCCTTCAGGCTCCAAAGCTACCTTTGGAGCTGTTGCTTCATTTTTCTGGACACGTCTCTATACGTGGAAAGCTGAAGGAGTTTCTAAGAATTCAGTCGGAATATCTCAGCTTGCACTTTCCAGCTAGGGAGAGTAAAGAGGCGGAGGATACACAACTTCAGGGAGAAGAATCTCTGAACCTCTTAGCTGAGCAGGATCCCCTCACTGTAGCTCAGCGCTCCCCCGACGCTGCTCCTGAATCCCTGACATTCAGGGGTCCTGTGCGCCCCAGGATCCTTGCTCACTGCAGACTGGCAGACCCCCGGGGAAAGCTGCCAGGCAGGAATCAAGTCCTGCTCTTCTTCCCACCAGGACACGGGACAAAGCGGCACAGCTGCCCCGCACCTCGGAACCTTGCTCCCCATCGCGCAGCCACTGGAAAGGGCACAAACTGGGGACCCAGTCTCCGGGCTACTCGGAGGCCCCGTGCGAGCACTGGCCTGCAGAGGCAAGGACGGGCGTCAGGGAGCGGCCGCGCGGGTCCTCACCTGGGCTGCGACCCCGCCTCTTGGCCCACTGAAGGGTCAGGTCACCATCAGTCCGAAGGAAGAACCCGAGCAGCAGCAGCAGCAGCAGCAGCGCGCACAACGCGAGCAGCAGGAGCACCATCGCGCACTCCACAGCTCCGAGAGCCTCCCGCGCCAAGGTCAAGAGATAAAGCCTCTTGGCAAGGACAATGAACAGGGAGGGGCCGGGCAGGTCCCCGCTGATTGTCCCGCCTGGCCCTGCCCAGGAGCTGTAGCCACTGCTCCTGAGGCATTAAGGAGGCCGACCTTAGAACCGCCTCGGAACCTTTGGGCGTGTTGGGCAAGTGCTGGGGAAAACTTGTGTTTCAGGCTTAAGGGCATGCACGACCCTGTACTAGGCATGTCACGTAGTCAACAGGATATCTGGAGACTGGAAAACCTCTAATTAGGTATTTTGAGAACAGGTACTTTTATCTCAAGCCCTGCTCCTGCCTTGGGGAGAAACAAGTTTTTTATCTTTGAGTGCAACCCTGCCCTTCACTCTTCATCCCCCACGCTGCTGTTCAGGGAACTGAACCCCTTAGCTAGGCAACACCAACCACATGCCTATGTCTCTTACCAACTGAAATGCACAAAGCAGAGGGATTGCTACCAGTAACGTTATCTTGGGGTACCACGTCAACCGAATTTGGAAATCTCCCTGCAAAGGACACTTTCTCATGGCTGGTCTAAAAAGTGCCATTAGTTCCAGGGCTAGGATCAGGAGCCAGAGACACAGCTGGAATCTGGTTGCTGTGCCTGTCTAGATTCTATAAATATTTCCATTATCTGTACTCTTAAACAGTAACTAGGGAGATTTAAATGCAAAAATGAATGTGAAAGGTACAGTTACTTATCCACAGTAGTTATATTTATTCTCTCCTTTGTAACTCTTGGTATTAGTTATCTTTATGAGTTATCATTTATTTTTCCCATTGTAATTATCATTCCATGGTCTCCAGCCTAAAAGGCAGGAATTCTTGTGATCAGCTTTTGGGGTTTTGAGGACTCCTTTCAGGTCCTTGATGTCTTAAAAAAGAATTGGGTGGGAGCTGGGGATTTAGCTCAGCAGCATAAGCGCCTGCCTTGCAAGTGTGTCATGAGTTTGATCCTTGGTACTGATAAAAAAGAAAAAGACAAAATAAAATAAAAAAATAAAGAATTGGGTAAGACACCCCAAAAATATAGTAAGGGGTCTTACATTTACTAAAGGTATAGGCTTTGCAGATCAAAACCAGGCTACTCATAGAGTTCACAGTGTCCACAAAGTGGATGGTGAGGTAATTTGCATCCCTCATTCCTCAGGCTTAGGTCAGAGCTAGGTCCTCTTATCAAAAACTTGATTGTTTTCATGCACAGAAATTGAAACCTTGCACTTTCTGATTGATCCTAAGTGCAGAGCTTGGAAACTTTCTGTACGTATGTCCTGGGTGTCCCTGATTGGCACATCACACCAACTTGCTCAGCCAAGTGCCCATGCCCTAATCTCCTGCCTCTTTTACCCTGATAGAAAAATCCTCATAATTCTTTGTGAGAGGTGGAGAGTACAGAGGTCTATCATCTTCATATAGTCTCTCATGCTGAAAGAGGCTATAGTCCCTGCCTACCGGGGTCTCTGGGAATTATGAGCTAATGACCTTGGTATATTTGGACTCACTAATTGTACTGGAAAAAATGCCTATCAGAAGCCAAGGAGAAAGGAGTTAGTGACTACATATCAAGGATGATTGAGCTGCCTTAAGAAAGCTTGGTGAATTTATCAGGAAAGTCATGGTCTGCACCTAAATATATAGCTCAGTGGCACAGCACCTGCCTGGTAAGTGCAAGGTCCTGAGTTTCATTCTTAGTACCAAAGAGAGAGAGAGAGAGAGAGAGAGAGAGAGAGAGAGAGAGAGAGAGAGAGAGAGAGTGTGTCTGTAGGCTGGCTCATCATCTGAATCCTTGAATGGATAAATTTTGTTAATTTTTTTCAGGGTCATGTCACAGGAATTATTGATTTCCACTTATTTAGTTTCAGTCTATGAGTTTATTTTTGAGTTAAATGTGTTTTTTTTGTATGCAGCATATTGTTAGATCTTGTATCTTGATCCATTCTGCCAGTGTGTTTCTTTTGATTGGTGAATTGAGACCATTTACCTCGATGATTATTACTGATATGCATTGAGTTAACCATGTCATTTTATTTTCCTATTATTGGTTCCCTGTCTTTCTGCTCTGTTTAATTGCTTGTCCTGCCTGGTGGATTCTTTTTGTTTAATTGCTTGTCTTGCCTGGTGTTATTGCCCCTGTTTTTGGTATTTTAGTCTTTGTACAGCTTTATAAAATATCCTTTGGAGCATTTTGGATGGCTGATCTGGTGGCTGTGAATTCCCTCAGTGGTTCTTTATCATGGAAGAATCTTATTTGTCCACTGATTTTAAAAGATAGTTTTGCAGGTTACATCAATCAGGAGTGAAAATTGCTTTCTTTTGTGATTGAATTACTTTGCTCTGAGCTCTCCTTGATTTAATGGTGTGTGTTGAGATAGCTGCTGTGCTTTCATTATAGGTGATTTGTTTTTCTTTGTTGACTGCTTTATACACTTCATTCCTATGGCAAATTTCTGCAATCTTTATTATTCTATGCATTGGTGTAGATTGGTCATTAATAATTGCCATGGCGATTGTTGGAGGTCTTTACCCAGATTTATATTGCAAATCAAGAGCAAAAAGCCCAGCAAGATAATTTAAAACATTGTGAATTTGGCTAAAAGAAAAACTTAGTAAAGCTGTGGACTATAAAGACAGAGCCAAAACGTTGTTTGCTGAGAAGGAACAGAGATATAAAAAAGATGGCCTGGGGCATCATCCCCGAAGCAGCAGGTCTTTACCTTTTGCAGCCTCAGACTTCCAAAAGTGACAAACTTTGATGCTCAGAGGACAAAGCTGCAGAGTGCCACATTCCAGAGTGGTGACAGAGGCCATAGGAAGTGGAATTACCCAAGTCTTGCAACCAGATTGCTTCAGATGCTGAGCGTGGAGCTCAAGGACTTAATGTTTGCTCTGCTGGATTTTGAACTCCTTTTGGTTTCAATCCTTGACATTGCCTTGTTTGTGACTTTTGGAATGGTAATGTTTATCATACTCCTTTGCATTTTGGAAATGTTTAACCTTATTTCATTTGTACAGAGGATTACAGTTAAAAGTTCGCCATAGATCTTAGAGGAGATTTGGGCCTTAGAATTTTCAACAATGCTGAACCTGTTAGGACTTTTGGCAACTCTTGGAGATGGACTAATTGTCTTTTGTAAAAGGATATACATGAGTCTTTGGGGCAGGGGGTGGAGTGGAATTTTATATTTCTCCCCCACCCCTGGTCTCATGTAATATGGATGCGGCTGAATGTAGCGTTTGTGATTGGTTTGTTGTCTAGCACTGGGGCTGGCGATGTGAGTGTTTCATCCCCCAGGGCTGGAGGGACAGTGTGATGTAATGGCAAGAAGAAGGTGTCTCACCCTTTTACCTTCACTGTTGTTGTTTGCAGCTGTCATGAATGGCTGCCCCGCCATGCCACTCTGCCTTGGAGCCAACTGAGTATGGACTGAAACCTCCAAGAACCATAGGAAATAAACATTTTCTTCCCTAACTTTGGGCGTCAGGTATTTTGTCTCAACAGTAAGTAAAAAGTAACTAAATCATATATGAATATATTTTTTCTTTTTCCCTTCCATCATTTCTTATTTCCCCATTATAATTTTTCTTTCCTTTTGAACAGTTTCTTCCTATTTCAATTATCTATTGTAGACTTTGAATCTTATTTACTCTTCTAGCTTCTTTTACTAGGGAGACAAATGATGTATACACATGTAGGTCTGTTTTATTTTACTTATGAGTATGGTCTCAAGTTGCATCCATTTACCAATGAAAGTCTAGAGTTTATCCTTCTTTATGGTTCAGTAGAACTCCACTTTATAATAAGACTACATCTTTTTAAATCCATTCCTTGGTTCATAGCCTTTGGGGTGTTTCCAAGACTTAGCTATTACAACTCAAGCTTCTATGTGCTGTGGTACGATGTTTTTAACTCTTCTGGGAAGGTATCAAGAAGAGGGATAGCTGGGTCAAATGAGAACTCTACTCCTAGTTTTTTGAGGATTCTCCACATTGATTTCCACTGTGGTTCCAGCAGCCAACCTTCCCAGCAACAGTCAAAAGGGTTTATTTTCTCCTGTAGCCCTGCCAGTATTTGTTATTGGTTGATTTCTTGATGGGAGGCATTTCTTCTAGAGTGAGATAGAATTTCAGTGTTGTTTTAACTTGCATCTCTTGAATGACCAATGATGTTGAACATTTTTTCATATATTTATTTTCTGTTTGTATTTCTTCATTTGAGAAATGCATATTCATCTCAGATGCTTATTTTTGGAATGGGTCTTTGAATTTGGGTACGTGATGTTTTTCAATTCTTTATATTTTCTAGATATAAGTCCTTTGTCTGAGGAACATCTGGCTAAAATCTTTTCCCACTTTGGGAGTTATCTTTTCACTGTGTTGATGATTTCTTTTCATATGTAAAAGGTTTCTAATAAGGGTAATCCCATTTGTTGATTCTTTGTAGTATTTTCCATGAGGTCTAGGATGTTTCATGAACTCTCTACCTACACCTGTGTCTTCCAGATTTCTACCTACTTTCTCTCCCAGAACATTTAGTGTTTATGTTTTAATATTTAGATCCTTGATCCATTTTGACTTTAATGCATGGTGGTAAACATGGGTCTAATTTTAGTCTTTAACATGTGTAAAGCCGATTTTTTCCAAGAACATTTATTAAAGAGGCTATCTTTCTTCCAGTGAATATGTTTGACTCCTTTGTCAAAGATAAGGTGACTGTGTGTGTTTGGAGCTGTGTCTATGTCTTCTAATATATTCCACTTATCCTCAGGCCTGATTTTTCTTTTGCCAATACCATGCGGGTTTTATCACAGTAGCTTTGTAGCATAATTTCTAGTTTGGGATTGTGGTATTCCTGTCTTGTCTTTGTGGTTCAGAATTGCTTTAGTTATTCTACATCTTTCCTCATTCCAAATGAATTTTAGACTTGTTTTCCCTAGTTTAGTGAGGTATGTTAATAGTGTTTTGATTGGTATTGTAATAAATCTGTATAAAAATTTGAGAATAGGGAGCTGAGATTG